GGGGGGGGTCTGAATTGAGCGATCAATTATTAGACCCGGACGTCCCAACACTTGCTTCGCAAGACAAACTCAAGGTATCCCCTAAAGGGCTACCTTTCGTGATGTCACATGCCGACCTCCTCCTCTGCCTCCTTTAGGCGCCCTAGACATTGCATGACATTGCATGACATTGCGGGGGCTAGGATCGGCTAGGACTTGGAGCACTGGCATATTCACAATTTACATCAATTTACACCCGCTGGATCCTACAGGCCACATTTTCCCAAATTGTCCCTGCATCTTCACCCACCCAGACCTAATTATAGTCAACCGACTGTGTCACACTCTCAGGACGCACCTTCTCTTTCGTGTCACGAACTGTCCTGCAAAATCAGCTAGCACAATGAGGGGAATGTTCAACGTTCAGAAGCACAGGTTCGACCCACAAGCACGCTCAGTTTATATAGATCAGTTTACTAAGATGAACAGCTCAAAAGTTTCATTGAATTTGGAGGCCATCGCTAGTAGGTTGGAGGCCATCGCTAGTCTGTTGGAGGCCATCGCTAGTAGGTTGGAGGTAGGTGTTCACCCCTTCTATCACTTAATGTGGCACGGTCCCCACCATCCACGTCCCTGCCTCTCTGGATTCGAATGCAGTAGCTGTCGCGAATGCGTCGGAGTACCTTGATGAGGATCTGATGGAAGAGCTCAAAGGAGATCTTTTCAGGCTTCCTCCCAGGCCAGTCTCGGCCAGTCTGGTGGGGTGGTAGTGGCGGGTGAGTTGACCCGTACTGCAGATTGGCGCTTGAACATCTTGAACAAAAATCAACATACAGGGGGACGTCTAGATGAGAGAGAGAGAGAGAGTGTGTGTGAGGGAGTGTGAGGGAGGGAGGGAGAAATACATGTGCGTGTGCCTGCAGCATAGTTTTATAATACTAGTTCATGATTGCTGATTCATTCTCAGGTGAGCATTGGAATTTCTAAAGAAAAAATCGATGTCGAAATGTTTGATCACGTGCGTGCGGAAGAGGCTGAATACAAGAGTAAAATGGTATTAACTCCATTGTTAATGCTTTAGCTTTTACACCTGTTCAACCTTAACTCTAGAATTAATTATGTTTCACTGTGTCTCCTTGCTTCCTTCTCTTTGTCTAGCTCTTTATTTTCTTGTGTTTCTTTTTTCACCTCTAGCTGTATTGAATTCCAGGCAGCTGACAAGGGATTAGGGAGATAAGAAGGTGGGACAAACTAGCCACCAAAAAGGAATTAACTCTGGATGTAGTTCTTTTTCAAGGGGTCCTGAAGGGTCCGATACAGAAAGAAACAATGAAGAATTACAATTAACTCTGCTTCTTCCAGAAGCAGGGGTGACCAAAAGAATTAACTTGGGAGTTAATTCTACTGAGGCGCATTCTGATCTGCACCCCAGGACAAAGAATTAACACCAGAGTTAAGAAAAACTAACTCTGGTATTCACTCCATTTCCGTGCTTAAATTCCCTTCTGCCCTGCCAAATGATGACCCTCGCAAACCCTTGTTCCTCTTGAAGTTCGTCTCTTTTCTGAGCACGGTCTCGAAGATGTTGACATGCTCCGCAGGAATCTTGAGACGTTGGAAGACCTGGCACTCTTGCAGGAGCATGACTGAAAACGGACAACAGGTCCTCTGCTGCCAACCACACCACTATTACATAGGGCATAGTGAGGAGCCACCCTGCTTGGAAGCAAAACAAAGTAACATGTTGACACGTCCAAACCTTCAAACTCCGCCACCACAGTGGGCAGTCGCAAGCTTGATCAAGCTTGTCCCCGCGCGCGATGTGCGCGTGATGTGCGTGCGCTCCAGCCTCCGGGATGGCAGTTGCAGGTAACAAGCACTTCTCCAGCTCGGCCCCGTCTGAGGGGAACGCGTGCTGCCGGAACACATCCTCACCTCACTTGGGAAACGCTGGACATCAACAAGGGTCCACGTCCACGCCAACCACCATGTGATTAGTTCAATTAAGTTCCTGCATGTTCTTCTATTCTTGAGGGCCCCAAAGCCAGCCATCTTCCCACACCTGGCGGTTTGCCGAGCGGCAAATCTTATTGTAGGCATCGCTGCTGCCAATGGCCACCGCCACCCGGTGGACTAACTTCACCACCTCCGCATCCTCTAACATGGCCTGGAGCCGCAGGGAACCGCTGGGTGCAAACAAATGCAGTGCAAATCCGCGCGATCCGCCCAATGAGGCCACCGTATTAAGAAGGAAGAGGAGGAAAGGATCAATTTGTTAAACAAAAAACATTGAGCATTCCGACCAACTCTGTATCCATCCAACCTTGGTTCTAGGATGTTCCTGGGGCGTGTTGACGTGAAAAGAACAGCTGGAACAGCACGCTCAACATCGGCAGGCCTCTGTGTCCAAAGGTGGGTAGTTGGCACCTGGGAGAAGGCTTTGGGGGGTGCTGTGAGTTATCAGTGCAATGATCCGAGCGAAGCCATGCCAAATGGGACAGCTGAAGCCTTCGAGATGCCCTGAAACAAGATACAGCTTCGATTGAAGCTGGTAGTTTGTTGAAGATTTCCACTTTTCTCCAAATGTTTCTGACCAGCCACCCCAGAAACCTGCGTCCTCACTTCCGCCCACACTTTAGGCTTCCCAGCCCGTGTTGATCAAGGCATAGCTCCGGTGGGTCCCGGTGCTTGCCACCGGCGCGTCCAAGTCCAAGGGCACCCTGCAACGACAGGAAAAACCCACCAGTCGACCCGAGGTTTCACCTACAAGCTGCCGGAAATGGAAATCATGCGGAATCCAACCTCTTCGTGCGGGAGATGAGAGTAGGCTGCCCAGTAGATGCTCATGAATAAGATAGGGAAACACCGACAAACTGAGGGAGGTTGCTCCACTGGAATCCCAGTTTCGAGGCATGTGTGAGCCGTGCCCATGTGAGCTTCACTTCGGATGCCTTGGTTTAGCCAAGCTTGCTTGTCGCCCCTGTCCCACATCGATCAGGAATCAAGAAGCAACATGCCCCTGACAACCTCGAAATGCGTTTAAGTGATTTAATTTCGTAAACCTTGCGGCTCAGGATGGTTCAGGTCCTTTCCGAACATCCCTTCGGCTGTGCCTCAGGTCATTGTCCATTCCGATGGGCAAGGGGCACAGCTCCATGCTGCCCAAACGTGTCGATTGCGTGCCGCCCTCCATCACAGCACCACTGGAGGCCGCTCGGCTGGCATCTACAACGTAGCAAGTGATGTGACCAACAACATGAAAGGCTTGCAACCTCCTTCTTCCGACTTCTCCTGTGAACTCTTGAGCAGTAGACATTTGTCCAAAGTCAAAATCCCAACATCTGCGAACCTATCCATGTTGCAAGTTACATCCCCACTGGTGGCCTCACACAAATGCAAGCATTCTGTTGGTGTGCGTGGATGTTGATCTTCAAACGCAGCATCTTTGCACTGCGAAGCCCAAGCTTGGAGCCAAAGGCGACAGGTGGAGACAATGCAAAGTCCAAGCTGTGGTTCGGTTGGTGTCGGGGAGCATCAACGAACGGTGTTGGCCAGTCGCGCTGATGGACCTGATGGACTTGGAAGATGAGGGCAGCCTTGATAAGCTTTGCAGGTCTCTCGGTCCATAATTACGTTTGATCAAATGGTCTTGGTTATTTCAATCGAATTTCCGAATACTGACAAGTCGTCCAATAGGCTCCGTGTTTCTGTATGTCAGGACTCTGCTGGGAAGAAAATGTTTTCTCACTATGCCAAAAGGCTGCGAGCACTTCCGGCCGCCAAAGCTACCCCGCACCTTTCTCAGGATATATAGTGACAGTGACAGCTCTAAGAATGTTTTCAACACCTTAAGTTCACCTTTTTTGGTCAGCTGATCCGTCTTCACAGCTTGGCGCTCTGCCACAGCAATGGCATCCAGTCGGTTGTGCATGCCTGATCTTCCAAACGCCACACAGGAAGGTTAATTTCAAGGTGTATCATTTTGCTTAGGTGAAGAAATAACTAAGTACTACATGTTGGTACAGTTAGTTGAACACAACTATTGTGGAAACATGCGGGAAACAAACGGCTCTATCAGCTTTGCCCAGTCTTGATTCTGCGTCAAGCGGGCTCAATTATTGCAATCTTAAAATCACAACCCATCTCCCTCCCTTCCAGTGGAACAATATTAAACAATGACAAGACTGTTCAATACGTGGCACGTATTAAAACTCACCAGGTTCCCACACATATCCATCACGTTACTCTTAAACAACAAGCAAACCCACCAGCAAACCCTTCGACCGCAAATCTCACATCAATTCTCCATCTGCCTGCGGGCACTGCCATGCTTCGTGGGCTCAGGGTGCGGTCAAGTTCCTGCGGGTTCCCGGGCCGACCGGAGGAATCGAAGGCCGATCGGAACAAGGTGGACCTGAGGGGGGGGTTCATAAAACGGCTTTGATTTGTTTTTTCCCCCAAGCAGTGTGAACACACTAGGGGTTCTTACGGTAGTATGTAATCACCGGTGTCTAATCGAGGTGTCGCGCATCCGTGTTCGGCAAGTTCGCTGCTATTTACAATGCATTCGTGCCTCTCGCATTCTTGGACATGGTGGTCACTTTTCGGGGCACGAGCAAGGGAAACCCCTATTTTTGTTCGAGGCGCTCTGATTTCGTGACAGGTGAAGTGAATCGTGACTTTTGGTCATGTGGTTCGTTTGCAGATTTTGTGGCAGGTGCAGTACTTTGTGGACCTTGAAGTGCAGATTTCGTTGCAGGCACAGCACTTTGTGAACCTCGAAGTGTACATTTCGTGGCAAGCACAGCAATTTGTGAACCTCGAGGTGCAGATTTCGTGGCAGGTACACTGCTAGACATCTAGAACTAGAGTTCGTTTCGTTTCACCCTCGCCCTCTCTCGCTCTCACTCACGCTCTCACCCACTCTCACTCACTCTCACACTCACTCGCTCACTCTTTCACTCACTTTCACTCACACACGCTCACGCTCACGCTCACACTCACGCTCACTCACTCTCACTCACACTCACATTCACACTCACACACACTCACACTCACACCCACACTCACATTCACATTCACACCCACCCACCCACGCACGCACGCAAGCACGCACTCACTGACGCACTCACTCACTCACTCACTCACTCACTCACCGCCATCACCACGATTTCCACCTTCATCACCACCATCACCTCTCTGGACCCCAATGCGTCTAGATCTCTAGAGTTTCTGCTGCTACACCTCTAGACCTCACACACACACACACACTGTTTGGGGTCTCTTGCCGGGATAATTGTTTGAGCCCGCTCTGCCCCCCCACTACTTCATTAAGTAGGCGCCTACTTAATTAAGCAAGGGCTAAGTTAGCTCCTAGGTAGGAGCTAAGGATAGCTCAGCAAATTCTTCAAGGAAGCTGCTCCCACCACCCTCAAGGCGGCTGGGGGGAAGCTTCCTTGAAGTCGCACTGTGGCCCCGGGTGCTCCACGGTTCCAAGTAAGAAACGCGTCGTGTGTGATGTCTCCTTGTTGGGTGGCAGAAAACCCAATGGTTATGCAAAAACATCTCCATTCTCAAATTGAACCTTCCTTCTGTACATGAGCACTGCTCGATATTGCTCGCCCTTCTTTAGACCTACAGTACCCCTTAGTCATATGCTTGCGCCGCTCAGGAAGGCTCCGACTCCTTGCAGCTGCTGGGCGACCTAAGGGGTCAAACGCTTCACATTGTGTTCGCACGATGAGAAGGATCTCTGGAGTGTTGGAGCGTTGACCCATGATTCATGCATTATTCATGCCATGAGTTTCTTTGGCTTGGATGATCTTGATGCTGGTGACACCTCATGTGCTTCACGCATGCATATCTCACAAAAAGAGGAGCATGGCGTGTTCCAAAGGCGGGCCTCTTTTGGATCGGCGGAGCGGTGTGCCTTGAGTGGTGAGGTCGTAGTTGCCATGACACCCTGCGTAACCAAGTAGAATGCCAAAAAAGGACATCACCACTCTTAACAGGAAGGTGCATGCCTTTAAGGGCACCTTCCTCACATGAGAGCTTCTCACAGTGCAGCTGTGAACTGCTAAAATGAATTCGAGCCCATGTTGACGGTGGAAATGTCTTCCTTGTGAGTTGCGGCTACCCCACCACTGGAGAGAGCCAAAAACAAAGGAACACGCAAACAAGAACTGGCTGTGACTGCGACTAGCCGCTTAGCCAGCATGAAGTGACCGCCGCTGAATTGAGAAGTAGCGTCAACGAGGTAAAGATTGACAACCCCCTCCCTGGGTCATATCGTGCCAGCTTGCATGGGCAACCATGCCAGATTATCATATATCAATTAACTCATCTACATAATACATCAGCTGACACCAAAATGCCTGTTCAAACACTTGAATACCACCGAGTTCGAGCCCGACGTCATCACGCCCTCTGTGAGCCAATGTCATGGCTGTCTTTGCAGCCTCAGGCTGGACGTTGGACCTGGGAGGTGCAAATCGCTCTCAAAGGCGTGGCCGCTCTGGGACCTTTGTCACATTCTCCACGGCCATTCGTCGTGAACCAACCCATTCACCATGTGGCATTCACGTGATCTACTAATACTGGCCACGGAGGCTGGTATGAACATTTGTCAAGATCTTCACTCTGGCCCCCCCAACTCAACCAAAATCAACCAAACAAGCACTGACCATGTTGAGGAAGAATCCCCTAGCCCAATGCTGACCATGACTTGAACTTGGGTTGATCTTCCCCGGGTATCTAATCCGGAAGAATTGGAAGGACAAACAATCTCCTCCCAAACGATGAGGATCTCGGTCGCAGGGTGCTCACAGCCCCAAACGCGAAGCACTCGTGGCCTCTTCAGCATCTTCCAGGGCAACTGCTGGCCTTGTTCGATCCCGATGACTCCGATGACCTTCTGCGACGCACCCAAGAAAGTCCTACCTACATATTGTCAGGGATTTCCTGGGCATGTGTTGGCTGACCATGGGGTTTGCCAATCCTGTAAACTCACAGGATTAAGGACCCCTCTAGCAGGAAGGCCTACATAACTTACATAACTTTTTCCTGCAATGCAAACCGCCATTGAAACAACCTTCTTGCCAATTTGCCAAATTTAGGCACTCAGAACCCTCAAATTAGAGACAGAACAGGGGGGCCCTGGGAGTGCACTTTTCAGCATGTCTGAGTCTGAGATACATATATATAATATATATAATTCACCTCAGCACTTGCAAGTGCACTGCCAAAGGCCTCAGCCAAGAGTTGGCTTACACAAACTATCTGTTGAAAAACAACAGCAATCTAGATGCAAACTCCTCGGGGACCTGTCAAAGACCTCGGGAATTGTCATTACCGTTTAGGTGTTTTTTATGTTTCGTTCACCCGATGCCCTCCCTTCCCAGCCCAAGACCTCTCAGGAATAGTTGTGTTCTTGTAGCGAGTTTAGTAGTAACAAGAAGCTACTAGGGGCTCCTGGCCATACTACTAGGAGCAAGAAGCTACCAAGGGCTCCTGGCCATACTACTACAAGTAGGAGCAAGAAGCTACTAGGAGCAAAGGGCATCGCTACGAATGGAGCAAGGACGTTTCTGTGTTGAACAAATTCAACGAAAGGTTACAATTTGCCGCCCTTTATCCCATGAAAAACTGTCCGAGCAAGGATCTGCAAGCCTGTTGAAGCTAAGAAACATGTGTTGTGAATATGTTTGCTCCTAATAGTGATGCCAGAAGCCCCTGGTAGCTTCTTGCTCCTAGTAGTATGGCCAGGAGCCCCTAGTAGCTTCTTGCTCCTAATATGTTTGCTTGTTCAATGTTTTGTTCAGCTGCTTTGTTTATCACCGGTGTTTCGATGTTTGCTTGACTTTCTGTCTGGAGGGGGCCCAGGAACCTTGACCTATCTGTTCGTCCAAAGTTCTGTGCAATTCATTGATGCTACCTAGCAATATTGATTTTCTCTTAAATGTACCGTTTAATGTTCTTCCCTTCTTGATGTGTTTCCTTCGAGTATTGTTTGGTTCCTCTTGTGCTTCTTCAGTTTTCCCTCACATTAAAAATGAGTTGTTTCAGGCTCATTGGCACCAAACCATATCCTGGAAATGCATTTCACAACTTCTTGCCATCCATCCAATAGTCTTGAAATAGATATTCCTTTTGTAATTACTTCTACCCTTCTTTGACTAGTTCGTTCCACTACTGGTTTGAACTTGTTCCTCTTATTTAGCTCCTCCTTTTGTTAAATTGTTTGGTC